TCGCGCAGGTCGAAAACTTTCTCATTTCCTCATTATCAATGGCGATAGAAATTTACAATTGTAAGAGTTTTGGCGCGAGGTGCATCGAAGAATATTGATATCTTAATCGGCTATAGAATATGAGTGGTCGTTTAGTCTTACTTTACTAAGCAAAGATAAATGAATCATTTATCTTTAGAAAATAGCGATAAGTAAATCATTTATCTTTATCCTTTAGTATAAAGGAAATTAAAGATAAAGGATCATCCCTATTTTAGAGCAGTTTCTAACGTGCCAATTAGACTCATGTCGCTGCTTCCAGCAGCCAGTCAAGTTTTCTAGGTGTTCTGACTTGGAAAATCAGATTCACTTAATTGACTTTGAAAAGTCGAAGAATCGTTCTGGGCTCAATCAATTGGAAACTGCTTGGGAACCTGATTATGTACCAGAAAATTGTTAGATAATCTGGTTGATATGGTAAAATCTGTCCGAAAACTTATCGCTTTGGTCTCTTGAGGAATGAAAATGTGGCATTCAGAAACTCTATTTGTTGTATACTTGAGATAAAATACGAAAGGGCTCCAAATAACTTAACAAATAAATCATCCAAAACGGTTACAACTTTTTATAGCTGATACGCGTGCTCTTACATTTAATCATGTCGAAAATGTATCCATATATCATTATTATTCGAGAAATTTATTAGATTCATTTAATATTGTTAGATTGAAAACGTTTTTTCTATTGTGAAATGCAGTACATCTTCAATGCATCAATTCTTGTCTTCCAATGATAATATGCGACACATGTTATATGAAGTGTAAATATCATTTTATTCTTTCAATCGTCTATTTGACTACCATATTAACTTGCTATATACGTTGATTTGATCATTTAGGAAGAGTCTGACAAATATTACTTGTTTTAACAAATTATGAGATATAAGTTGAGTTTTTTCTAAATTTGGAATTCAACTATTTCATATTTTTACATGGTGCTCATCCTATTCTTACTCTATGAAATGAATAATAGCATCCACCTACTGAATGACACCTACGATAACACCCTTTCGCTGCATTAAATACCAAAACCTGTCATATTTAGACTACGTAGTTAGGGTGTAAAGAGTTTTAGAATAATATAACCATCGTTATTGTTTACGCGCCTTCTCTCTATACTATAGAAACCTACCCAATAGTCTTTGACTTTGTTCTCCCATTCTCACTTGCCATTGCTAGAGCGAAGAGGAAGTTGCAAAAACCTCGATTTAAACCTATAAACGTGTATATTTTCTTCGAAAGTATATAGCAGTTTAACAAAATCTGCTTCTTTGTTGTAAAGATTCTACTACTCGGTGAAAAGCTGCCAAAAGCCAATTAACTGCTTCTAACCGATGAAATGTATTCGATCAAGCATGATAAGAAGCATAGGCATGCATTTCTTAGGTATTTTATTCCGAGTGATTCTATGTGATTCTGAGTGATTCTATGTGATTCTAAGTGATTCTATGTGATTCTATTGATTCTGTGTGATTCTATTGATTCTGAGTGATTCTGTGCGATTCCGATGGTTCTATCGCCATAGAATCAGCTTTTTCCCCCTTGGTGTCGGTGTAGTTGTGGATAAACAGAAGAGAAACACCTACATCCACAGCACCGCATACCAAAACTCACCCACACCCTACACCCTACACCCAGACCCACCCCCACCCTCACCCCCACCACCATACCCACACCCACACCCACCCACACCCGTACCTGCACCCGCACCCACACCCGCACCCCCACTTACACCCCACCCATATCAACATCCTTTCCAACTGTATTAGTACATTCATCTTTTGATTGTGTGCAGACACCTAAATCATCGACTTCTTTCGGTTTAATGTTGAATTACCTTACCAATGTCTTTTTTATTTATTCTTTCTTTATTTTTTTGTTCATTGTGCATCTCTACCGGTGATTTAAATAATGCAAGCTTGCAATAAACAAATGAGAGGCAGTGAATGATTGAAGTGCGCAGAACATTATGAGTTTTTTTTTGTTGGAGCTGCTCACTGCGAAAAAATTGATTAGAATGTCATTGCATCTATCATTTTTAATAGAACTTTTGAGTTTGTTTATGCGTTTTTATTATGACATGTACATTATTTGATTTCATTGAATAATTCAACGTGTGATTCGTTCTCTCTATACACTGCAGGTTGGAAGGATGATTGAGAAGTAGGCAGTACAGTCTCTTCTGCGGTATTTACAAGGTTTCTCCTACCATATTAATATATGATGAACGAAACCTCTGCAGTTATTCGACTAATACAAATAGTCAGCTAGAGAGAATACTTCGACATTATCGAATCTATTTCGTCATACAACACTTTAACGCATCAGAATATTTTCAAAAGATACATTTATACAAATGTTTTATGCCCCCAAAACTGCCTTATTTCCAAAACAATCTCAGGTAATTATAGCGTTCCGTAGATTATCAAACTACTGATTAGAGTTATCTTCCAATGAATGAGCCAAAAAAGTAACTATTTTTCTTTACAGCTAGAATCTCAGTATACAAAGCAAAAACAAAAGAATCATTATTTCTCTTCGCATGTGAGTCCATCTCGAACACTCAAACCTTCTATGGATTGCTGTTCTCCGTCTACGACGCCACCAATATTGAATCAAGAAGAGCCATCATCTAAGGACTTCGACAAGTTAGTAACACTAATAGAATCAATCTCTATTAATCTGTTGATAAAGCATTTTAAACTGTTTCTCACTGATAATTTTCCAATTGTCGGAACTGCTATTTGTTTTAGGGCTTTGAAGAAAAGTGCTATCAAGCTTGAAACGAAATGTTTTTCGACGTTCACTTTTTTGCTACCGATGATTATTGTATTTGCTTTTGCAGCCATCGTATTTGGTGCATATGGAATTGCTGCTGTATTCACAAAACAAACAGTAACTACTAGCACTGGTATAATGAGACTGATTTAAACCTTGATCATGTTGAGATCAAACACAAAATGATTTTGTCCTTAGATTTATCTTATCTTTTTTCTCTCGTAAGCCCGAGATGATCAGTACAGAAGCCAAATAAGTCTTCAAAATATCTAAACTAAATCAGATGCTGTTGCATTTTGAAGTAAAACTATATTGATTTTGTAAGATTTTTGTTACGCATCCAATCACAGGAAAAAAACTTCATTCATGAATTAGTTGTCTCTTGACTGGGAATAGTTCATTATTCCCTACAAAATTTGTAGAAATAGCTTTACTCAGATACTCGTTCTTTGTGCCTATACCATGAAAGAACATGACGTAGTAACTTTTTTTATAAGTGTTCTTCGACAACAGTATTAAAGAGATTGCAACCTCACTTCTGAGAATTTAAGTTTAGAAAAGGATAAAAAAATGGTGCTTTGATGTTCTTTATTTCGTATGCATCATTAAACTAGTGAATAACCTCGGATCTATAACCACTACAACGATCACTATTGCGACTACTATTGCAAGCACTACAGTGGCTACTATATTTATATATAATACGATGGCGACTACGTCGCGTTAGTATATACTCTTGTCATTTAATGCTTCATTTTAATATTTAAAAGAAGATGATTTAAATCCCAGGAGATTCAATCCGACCTGTAGATTCGATCGAAAACGATCGGATCCGCCTCGGATTTCATCGGAATCCGACATCTTTCATAAAAAACCGATCGGATCCGACAAGGTTTTTGTCGGATTCCCATCAGCCGGATTCCGGTCCGGATTTCATCGGAATTCGACGGAACACGATGAAATCCGGACCGGATCAGGACAGATTTTATCACGTTCCGTCGAATTCCGATGAAATCCGGACCGGAATCCGGCTGATGGGAATCCGACAAATATAGGACCGGATCCGACCGAAATTATTCCGAACTGGCGAGATCCGACTGGGGTCGTTTGACCTGGGTAAGTAGCTGAATCAACAGACATAGTTCTTCGTGAAGTCATAAATAAATAAGAATTAAATTCTCAATGCCTGACCTTACATTGTGGAACCATATATGCGATGTAATATGCTAGTTCATATAGGTTCAAGCAGAAACTCAATTCAATAATCTATCGTACTGCTCAAATGTTAGAATTTTATGACAATGGTTTTCATTTATCTATTGATGGATGAAAAACATCTAAAATAATTAGCATATGAAGCTGTCAGGTGAAGCATTGACATAAAGAATCAGTAGAGAAGGGGCATAGCATGAAAAAGAGAATGCATGAGTATTTTTCGAGCGATTTTTACACGATCATAAATGAATGTTGAAGTGTATGAGGGAAAAGTGATAGGCGTTAGCGCCTGAATCATAAGCCTTGACACAAATGTCGACATCCCATGTCGGATTTTGAGACCTTGGGTAGATGAATTCTAAATTTTATGCCCTTAGTCACTGAGACTATCCTATATATTGCGAAAATTATAAGAAAATCCTAGTATTGAGCTTTTGTATTTTTCGAAGGTTACTGTGGGATTCTACACTTCGAGATCATTTTATTTTCTGATTTGTAATTTAAGATATTAGATGAACTCTCGGGCTTTGAAGATGTTAGGATCGAATTGTTCCCATCCGGTCGTAAGACGGAGAGAAGATACCCTTTCTAGTACGGTGGTTAATACATCTGCCCGATAAGCAGGAGACACATGGTTCGATTCCATGGGAAGGAGATTGTCTTTTTCTCCGTTCTGTTGTATTCCATCGCGCTGCTTTGTCTCGGTCATAAGTCATGACACCAGATTCGCAACAGAGGATGTGAATATGGGTCTGGATCTGGTTGGTTGTGGGTGAATTAGAGTGTTGATTGTCTCTTCAGTGGTACCCACATCCACACTCTCTAAAAAAAAGGAGTTTTGCAGAACCCCTCGAAAAGGTTCTGCAAAACTCCTTTTTTTTAGAGAGCACCCACATCCACACCCACACCCACACACCTATTCATACTCTCATCCCACATCCACATCCTCATTTCGTACGAATCATTAAACTAGAGAGAATCGTCGGGTCTACAACTACTGGTACCACTACTATCGCGAGCACTATCGTAACCACTATCGCGGCCACTACAACGACGACTCCAACAACCACTCTTGCGGCCACTACAACGACGACTCCAACAACCACTCTCGCGGCCACTACAACGACGACTCCAACAACCACTCTCGCGGCCACTACAACGACGACTCCAACAACCACTATCGCAACGACAGCTCCTACAACGACTATGTCGGGTCAGTATACTCTTTTCGTCCAAAGTTACTTTGTAACAGTTAAAAGAATATGATTAATAACAGCTTGACTAACAGATATAGTACTGTCTGTGACCATAAACAAGTAAGAACTAATTATATTCTCCATTCCCGGCCTTACATTGAAAACTATAATTGAAATGTCACGTGCTAGTTTATATAAGTTCGAGTAGAAACGCAACAAAATAATGCATCATATTGTTTAGATGTTCGAATTCTATCACAATGGTTTTCATTTATCAATTAGTCAAAAAGAATTAAAAATTTCAACACACAAGATATCAGATGAGCACCAATGTAGAGAATCAATGAACGAGCATGGCATACTAAAGAAAGGTCTTGGGTTTTTTTGACTAATTTGCATATGCTTGTTCACGAATGTTGAAGTCTATGAAAGAAATTGATAAGGATAAACACCTCAGCTACAAGCTTTGACATCAATGTCGACGTCACATTTCGAATTTTGGGACTTTGACTTGATGGGTTTTTAATGTGCTATCTTTAGGCTTTTGAAAATCTAGGAGTTCAAGCAAATTTCTCAAAATGAAAGCGCTGAGATCTAGAAACGGTAACTATTATCCATTTCAAAATAAGAGAAAGGAGAATAGTTTTGAAATAGTTTGTCATAGGAACTTCATGGAGATTCGCGATTTTGATCTTTTAAAAGGGGCAATGAAATTGCATAGAATTAATAATATCAAGTTTTTTGGTAAGTTTTATCAGGGTCTCTTATCAAGGTTTTTAAGAGATCGGGGCTTCTTTGTAGAGTTAGAATACGAGCTTTTTGTCAAAAAAATTAGAAAAAAGTCAATTTCGTTTGAAAAAATCTGCCGAAAAAAAGTTAGTAAAATGTCATTAACTCGTGATTGGCTAAACATTTTAACATGGGATTTACATAGATTATTGAGCTTTAGTTACTGAATCAGGTGCACTGCTCAGGACTTAAATTTTAAAGTTTTTTTGACATTACACAACGTTTTGGTTCCAGAAAACTTATCAGGAGATACTGATAGAAATTACTAAAAAAATTCTGATATGGATACTTCGATGAAGTTTCATTGCCTCTTTTAAACAATGAAAACTACAGATCTCTATCTATTTCCTATGAAAAATTATTCCAAAAAGACTCACTCTTCTTTTATTTCGAAATGAATAATAGGGGGTTACAAATTTGACTGATACCCCGTTTTGATACAGTCCAATTGTAAGGATAAAACCTACTATTGTCCGGGCCATACAAGAGAGGATCCTACATAACCCTGGGTTGGCCCGAACAACACCATGTTTTATCCTTACAATAGTAGAGAAACGCTGCCTGCCTTATCGTGGGG